TCAGCATTATGTGCCAAGCATTTTTCCAGGCTCTGGCTCGTATTAGGAGGGACTTGAAAGGGATGGCAGAAGCCCCTTCGGAGTCGCGGATTTAGATCTGGACTCCTTAGCACTCCCATCGTTTTTGAGCCAAGGTTCTTGATTGTTAGGTCTCCTGGCTTTTATTTTTCCACATGTAAAAAATGCTGAAGGTTAGTACATTAAGATGTACAGAGAATTGTCTAGCTGGCAAATGTTAATAGTGGCTTTTACTTGAACATTTTTTACAAAGCATCTGGAATCAGTTTTTAGTTCATCACTGAATTTTTCTGTATTATGAAATGACATGCTTAGAATAACCTATATAAGTGGGGGAAAAATGGAAATAGAATCTGAATTGTTAGGTTATTCAACTGGCAATATGGAAAAAAGGAGCCCTTTCAGGTAGCCTTTGAAGACATGTGGCCATTATATTATTCAGACAAATCTATAGGTAAACTGAAGGTATCCCCAGTGACTGGCATCACAGTCTTGATATAAATATTGAATTAAATGCATGAGTTATGGAAGGGTTTCATAGATCCTCTAATGATATTAATGTTGATATACCTTAGGTGTAAAGCTAAGCAAGTCTTAAAGAATAATGAAAATGATCCAGCAGGTAGAATAGCTTGTCATAAGAGAATTAGCTGTCTTTCTCTATTTTTATTTGAGAAGGATTAGCATAATATAGAAGGACTATATTATGTTGATGAATTCCTTAAAGATGTGTCAGGACCCTTGCCTTTTAATACATATTTGAAAATTATAACCATGTTGTTCAAATCCTAAAATACTCTGGAAGGAGATAGGAGCCAAAAAAAGGAAGTAAATCCTTTTTCATGGATGGTAGAATTAGGATGTTTCCAGAACCAGCACTGTGCCCATCATAGTAGGCACTGAAGTTTTTTTTTTTTTTGTAAAAGAACATTAGGATAAATCCTCAAAAGAGGATGATATTTTCCCATAATGAACTTCTGGTGCTGTTGAGAGACTTCCAATTCAAGCAGGCCACTGATGTGGGTGTGAGCTGTTCTGAATATTCTCTTCTCCCCAGGGAGCCGGGGGCTCTTTTAGCATTGACAGTGAGGAGTATGAAGCAATGCCTGTGGAGGTGAAACTGCTCCCCAGGAAGCTGCAGTTCTTCTGTGATCCTAGGAAGAGAGAGATGCTGGCAAGCCCCACCCACTGAGCAGGCGGAAGATAAGTGCTCTGTGACCACACTTTAGGCCACCGGTGAGACTGAAAGGGAACAGGTGCCTCAACCACTCCAACAGTGTTGTCAGAGGGTCCCAAGGGCATTTTCAGGCAAGTACTCCTCTGCCCTCTCCAGCAGTGCTTCCCAGTGTGCTCTGTCACCTGCTTTGCAATCGGCTTTGTTAGCGCATGTTTTCTTTCAGTGTGACGGTTGACCCTCCTAAACACAAACTTTCCTCAGGCTGGTTCAAGATGGAAAAAGACTTTCTTCTGATTTCTTCCGAAGTGCAACCATAGTGGAGAGCCCGCAGTAGGCTCAGCCTGCCTAAGCCCTTCCATTCTTGTTCTGTTCTTTGACCGTGCTAGTAATTCTGGGGAAAGTGCCTTCCTTCCCTGGTGACCCTTTCCTAGTTCTAGGCTCCTCCATGGGTGCTGCTATTTTGTGAGCTCTGGCTTCTGTTTAGCTTTTATTTCAGTTCTATCCCGAGTCCAGAAATGTATGTGAAGTTGTTTCCACCTCCAGCCATGGCTATAATACTGTAAAATGCTAGTTTTATTTTTTTAGGTAGTGCTTCCTCAATGGTTTGCATGAGAGCCACCTGGGATGCATGTTGAAAATTTATTTGGGGTCCACCCCAAACCTAACAACCCAATTTGGGGAAGGGGCCCAGGAGTGTGCATTTTCTAAAAGTCAGCCACCCTTCCCAGGTGATTCTGTAAGTTGTCCCTCAACCATACTTGGAGAAGCAGTGTTTTAAAAACAGTGGTCCACAAAGTATTCTGCTCATGTGCCCCCAAAAAGTATTTTGAAAAATCATGTATCCCCTCACCCATCTACGTTGCCATCTAAAATTTTTCATGGGAAGTTAAATAGTTGACAAAGTATGTATTTGCTGGTGTTGTGTAAATATTGGTATTTTAAACATATCCAGTACCATTTAAATATCACCACGATTTGACACCTTTCATTCATTTATAAAAATAAATGAGCTAGTTTTTTAGTAGTTGAACATTTTAAATTGGCTTTTCTCCTTCTGTATTTCCGTACCACTTTCAGCCAAGAGTCCTGTCATAATGTAGTCTATTATGCCTGACATCTTTTAATCATTCACCCCATTATCTTGTCAACAAAAAATATAAATGGAAATAAGTTTTTTAGTTCTGTTATTTCAGTCCAGAACAAATGTTACTGGTATATAATGAAAATATTAATATAATTCTTTGATGATTAAAAGTTGTTTTATTAGAATGTTCTTTAACCTAATTAGTTCATTTATCTAAGAGTACATGAATGTTATTTACAGCTGAGATGGGGTTCAACCTCAGTTGTATTCCTTGTTTCACTTCTTTATAGATGTAAGCACATAAATTCTATGGGACTAGAAAGAAGTATGTTAACAATTTTGTGCAGTTCTTTGAATTCCTTTGGAATTTTGACAAAAATCACAGCGCTCTATCATCAAGAATTACTAATAATGATCTATCAATTAACAACTTGATTAGATTCTCCTTTAGTTGTTGAAAGCAGAGAACTAAAATCCACCCGATTGGCCAAGCCTGTCATTAGCACCATTTACTTTTCCTACTACTGACATTTTCCTTTGTTTAGTGCCCCTGAGGTTCTTATACTCTAGAGCAGGCGGCCCCAAACTGCGGTCCCCTGAGGCCATTTATCCGGCCCCCCGCCGCACTTCAGGAAGGGGCACCTCTTTCATTGGTGGTCAGTCAGAGGAGCACAATATGTGGCGGCCCTCCAACAGTCTGAGGGACAGTGAACTGGCCCCCTGTGTAAAAAGTTTGGGGACGCCTGCTCTAGAGGGCAGTGCACCACAGGAAGATCAATGAGGGAAGACTGCAAGGCGGGAAGCAGAGCTGGCAAGCCTGATCTACAGGCTTACTCTCAGGCAGATCCCATTTAAGGTACAGTACATACACCATGCCCACACATCCCATGGACCACACGACCAGTGCTTTAGTGGATTACACAACAGCTATGAAAAGTCCATGAATGGAGATCACAAAATGTAAGGCCTTATTTCACACTATATATTCTTCAAGGTGGCAAAATTTCTGCTTTTAGCAAAGACATAACAACAGATGGTTGCAAACATCAGCATAAAGATCACTCATCCCATACCACCCATGGACAGGGAGAAAGGGATACTGTGGTATATGAAAATAAAAGTTTTCACCTGAGCTGAGAGCATATCTTGGTTCCGTAACAGCATCAAGGACCAGTGCAGAATCTGGCTTGCTTCTTTGCTAGGCTACCAGTGTGTGTATATGTGTGCTCATTTTATGGTTCTAATCGTAATGGTACATATAATTAAGGAAGGATATAGAAGCCACATTAGAATCTTAATTCGGTTTTAAATATAAATATACCTTGTTTCAAACTTTGTTTTCTTGATTCAGGCTCTTCCCTGCGACGGCTTGGTTTCCTTATTGTTGACTGCTTTGTTCTTCCCCATAAGGCCTGCATGGAAGATGTTTAACAAAGCAACTAAAAGAGAGCGAGCCTTGTCAGCCAAAGCTGGAATGCTGAGCTCTCTGGAGGAGAACCTAATAACCCAGTTCGGGGATGGGGCAAAACTGGGTCTAAAAAAACTACATTTTTTAAGTCAACTTCCCTTTCCAGGTGATTCTGTTTAGTACAAACCTTTTGACAGGTTAATTTCACTCAAATGCAAAGATTACTTTTGTTAAAAATACCGTACTTGCTTTCTATAAGAGCTTAACATAAAGCTTTTTTCTTTCCTCGTAGCTAATTTACACATATTTGTATGCAGTTATAATTCCTATGTGCCAGTGCTTCACAAACGTAACTGATACATCAGTTCTCACAACAACCCTAGAAAGTAGCTACAGGTTGAGCTTCCCAAATCTGAAATGCTCCAAAATCTGAAACTTTGCCACCATGATGCTCAAAGGAAGTGCCCAGTTGAACATTTTGGGTTTTGGATTTATAATGCAAAGATTCTAAAATCCTAAAACATCTGATATCTGAAAATACTTCTAAGTCCCAAACATTTCAAATAAGGGATACTCAGTCTGTAATATTATATGGTTACACAGCTCAGAAAGTAGGAACCCGGCTTTGATTCCAGGCCATTTTATTTACAGAGCCGCCACCAGCAGTGTACTCTATACCAGTTCTAAATAAATACTGCAACTCAGCAAAAGGTTAAAAATGAAATAGAAGTTTAGAATATACACATATGGCCGGGCGCGGTGGCTCAAGCCTGTAATCCCAGCACTTCGGAAGGCCGAAGCGGGTGGATCACGAGGTCGAGAGATCGAGACCATCCTGGTCAACATGGTGAAACCCCGTCTCTACTAAAAATACAAAAAATTAGCTGGGCATGGTGGTGCGTGCCTGTAATCCCAGCTACTCAGGAGGCTGAGGCAGGAGAATTGCTTGAACCCAGGAGGCAGAGGTTGCGGTGAGCCGAGATCGCGCCATTGCACTCCAGCCTGGGTAACGAGCGAAACTCTGTCTCCAAAAAAAAAAAAAAAGAATATGCACATATACCAAATATATACATACAGTTTTAAACTGATCTTCTGGGTGGTGTAGTTATTCCCAACTTTGTTTCCCATTACCTGGAGAAAGTTTGTCCTGATCGTGGCTTCTAGGAGGACAGGTAGCAGCTCCCCAGTCTCCTCCATCATGACTGTAAGTGAAGTCAGGTTCAGCCCCACAGCTCTGCTCGTGGGGTGGGCCACCATTCCTTCCTACCACAAACCACATTTCTTGGACTACAGAAGGGATTGCAGCACACATGTTCATGTTAAAATGTGAACTTTAATTGTAAAAATCATTTTCTGTAAATATAGTTATGTCAACCTCTCTGCACACAACTTGGTTCAGATATGATATTCATAGATGTTACTTGTACCACAGAACAAAATCAATTCAAGAAACATTTACTCTTAGCTTCAGGATTAACCCCAGCTTTCTTTAGGTCTTAAATTTATCACCACTGGAAACAGAGAGCACGGCATACCTGGGCACACCAGTATTCAGGGCAAAATTTATTAAGTGTCTTCCCAATTTCATAGTATGAGGTAAATACCTGAAACAAAAATAGATTCAGTCTCTCGTATTGCTATAACTCTTAGGCTGGGTTATTAATCAAAATAGGGATTTTACCTTTAAGGCAACAGGGAGGCTGTGCTGATTCTTAGAAAGAAATGGGGAAAAGTTTTTCTAAGGCTACAACTATTTGTTTAGGCTTATTTTCCCAGACCTGTACAAAAATTCAGTCAACAAGTTTTGGGTAAATACAGGAAATTCATTTTGCTTTCCTCTGCTCTCTGTCCCTGAAGTCACTCATCCAGGTTGGTTGTTCAAAAGCCAAGAATCTCCACCATTCTTTACTTGACAATCTTTGTGGACACATTAGACTGAAACTTTTTTTTGCAACATCTTAAAATTTTTAGTATACTTTTTCTTTGTTTAGTTTACCCAAAGGAAGGAGTTTTCATTCTAATGTCAATGAAATATATTTGCAACCATCCAACTCAGTGAGTGACCTCTGTGTGGACTGTTCCCTTTATGGATCATCTCTGGCTAAGAAAACATCCTGCATCACCCCCACACTCGCTGACTGGCCTCAGAAAGCAAAGTAAATTTATTATTAGTCTAAATAAGCATTCTACAGGAAACATAAGTAATTCACACCTGGTCTACTATGAAAATTAAATTTTCTGAATTTAGATCATATTAACTCATATTAACTCTAAAAGCCCCACAGTATGCTAAAATTCGAGAATTCTAAAAAGATGAAAGCAAGGCTTTTCTTCTCCATTGTCATTTCTTTATATAGCACTAGAAAATTCTTATTCCCTTTCTAAATTTGCAATTTCATCCAACTGCCCCTAAATTCTAGTTTGAAAAATGAATTAAAGTGCCAGTTATAAATCTACCTCCCACTCCCACCTCTCTCCAGTTAAGAGGCCCAAAAATAAGAATGATGCCATTTACCCTTTTTCATACTAGAGTTTTACTTAAGGTGGGTGTTTTTATGTCAACCTTCCTAGGACTGTCAAGTCTACCTCCTAAAGAGCGCTGTCAAGATTTCATAGCACAATCTCCTTATTCACTCTCCAAATTATTTCATAGTAAAACTTCTATGGGGTCTCAGCCACTACCAAATTACAAAACTGCCCATTTCCTCTAGAACAGTTTTAAAATTTCCTTCCATTTCAGTATATGCATACTCATTTCATCACACAGTAATATCAATAAAAAAATAAACTTCCATTTCTTATAAGAAAAACATTAACTTAATTCACAGTTAGCCATTTCCAACAACACTCAGTACTCCAGTAGCTTCTAGGAACAGAGGTATATTAGTAATAAAAATGGAATATTAAAAATCCATGACTTGGGAGTAAATGGAGCCGTTAACTCCTCCTCTCCCCCTACCTGAATCAGAAAAGAGTTTTCCTGAAATGAGACGGGACGGGACTGGGGTCAGCAGGATTCTTACCCCAGGGTATAACTATAAGGTACAGGGGACAAGACAGAAGCACTGGCCATTTTGCAGAATCCAAGCCCACTAGCTTGGGATCTATTAGGGAGATAAAAGCCCATGCCTGGCATATTGGTCCCCATGCTAATTTTCTTGCCCATGTTAGAACTGTCATCACAGTAAGGCAAGTTCACTGCCAAGCTGAGCGTTATCCTATTTTATTCATCCACCTGCCCACTCTTCCTTTACCTCTGCAAGGCTGACCTATACAGAGACTGGAGAAAGCATCTTAATCCAGTCCCCAGGCTATGCAGTTTCAACGGGAAATAAATGGTCCCTCGGGTCTCTGCCTCTTCTAGAAGGGTTGATGTCCTATGACTGAAAGGCTAATTCATTACTGCCCTTTACAAAAGCTTCCCTGAAGGCCTCAGTTTAAAGGTGAGTGATTTCATCTTTTAGTGTGTTTGAACGGCTTTCAGTGTATCAAGACTGATAGCAAATTCATCCTCAGAGCCCCCAGAATGAAAAACAATGATTTAGCTAAGATTTATCTTCTAGCCAAAAGATCATCAGTAGTCACACGGTCACAAATCTTCACATGTGGCATCTGGGAGCATCTGCACTGTGTACCATCTTAACTTTCTTGACTTTCAAGTAGAACAAAACAAGATAAGTTACAAATGCAAGTTCCTAGGCTAAATTACTTCTATTGATACATCAGTGATTTCAGCTTCCCTCCCCTTAACCAGATGGAAGTGGAGATGCTCTAATAATGATGGATATGGAAGGCAAAAGACTTCTAATTCATTGTAACCATAATTTACTGAGGACTGTACAGGTCCCAGGTGGGACACTGAGGCTGGAATGGTCTCTACCAGGCATAGAGAAGATTTCACATTTAAAGCCCAAGCAAATTCTAAACACATAACTTGGCCCATGCTTTAGTCTGGTAGGAGATAAGCTCTACCATTTCTAACTCCTTGTGGAGAGTCCTAAGCCAGGGGTCAAATGGACATTTTCCCAAAGGCTGAGTAGTATCTGCTGAGCCTACAGAATTGAAAACACTCCTTTTAACAGGCCTTTGTCATATTTTACATGGATACCAACAAGCTCCAAACATGGATTCTACTCCCATCTGGGATCTTCTAACTTAGGAACAATAAAAAGGGCAGCCCAGCCAGCATCTCAGGTGAGCAAGTTATTTCCAAACCAGCACATGGTTCATTCACAGTATGGCATGTGATCAGGCTTAAAGCTTCACAGGAGAACTAGGCCTGCTTAGGCAGGTGAGGGCTGAGGCCAGGCAGCAGATAGTGGCAGAAGGTATCATACCACAGGTTTTCAATCCTGCTCCAGGAGGTCAATGGTAATCATCATGTCCGCCCCTAAAGAGCTTACAGACCTAGTAGTCTGTGAACAGTGTTTACCACCTTCTTCTGAACAAAAGCGGATGGCTTCTCAGAAAGTATTTCAAGACTGGCAGAAAAGCAGGTCCACATGGCCCCTAGCTGCTTTTGTCACTGTGGAATTCCCCTTGTAGAGAACTGGCAGCAAAGGATCCTGGGTTGTGCCTGCTAATTTCTGATGTGGGGGAGCAGAATCTGGTGCAAAGCAAGCCTTAGGTGATTTCGGAGGCCACAGCCTCCACTTCATAGCCCAGGGAAGACATACTCTGAGGACGATCAACGGTGGCAGAGGTAACCGAAGAGATAACGCACGTGCTGTTCAGCCAAGCAGAAGCTCTAAGCAAGATTTCTGGCCCTATAAAGAAGCTGGCAAGGTAGGGAAGGACCAATTTCTTGGGATCTCTCTTAAAGGGAGAAGTTCTGCATTGGGGTCAGCTGAGCCTAAGGCCCCTATGACCCGAAACATGGCACTGCCTCACTGGCACATTCTCCTCTGGGGCCACCCATACCCTGGCCCTCTCCATGAGCGGGAGGGTGACACATGGAGATGCAAGAGAGAAAGCTACCTAGACAAGCACGAGTGAAGGGAACCCAGAAAGGTTTACCATTCAAAGGAAAATACAGGAACTTCATTCTCACCCTGCTACCTTGATACCAGCACTTCTGAGCTTGCAGTTTAAAACAGCACAGGAAACAAAAGTGTTTGCATACAGAAAGCTCGGAGCAGAAATGCCTAAAGCAGCCCTCCTGGCAGATTCCCCAAATCCAGAAAAACGAAGTCTTCTTGTGTCCTCTAGGAGAATCAGGCCTTTCCTTTCACCCCTACTCCTGCCTCTAACCACCTACCCCCAGCTTAAAACACCCTGAGCCTCAGGATACCATGAAAAGTAACCATTACTTAGTCTAAGTTAGAAAGGACCCATCAACCCTTGAGAGGCAAGAGGAGAGGGTTGCATGTGAAGGAGAAAAAAGGTGAGGTTTCAACTTCAAAACAAGGATTTTTTTTTCTTTTGTAAACATACACATTACTGAAATGGTGGCAACTCACAGTGCAGAGGAGAAAAGTGTATTAACTGTACAGTTTACATTTCAATGCCCAAACTTATTTATATATTTACATAAAGATGCTACCTGCTACCTTCATTAATCAATGTCGACTGGCATTTCCACATATGAATTTCTTCAGTTTTGATATTCCATATGAAGGAGCTATAGGGAAAAACACTTTTGAATAAAGCATGAACCCTAAGAACCTTATCTTGGGATGAGATGTGTGACCCAGCATTTGAATGTTATTTCTCTGCTGTGTACATTAGTCTGGCTGGGTCTTGGTCACAGACATGGATGAATTCATTGATGGGCTATTCCAATAACACAGCCAGGTGAGAAGGGTAAGGAGGAAGAAATTATTTGTTGTCAACAACCGGGTATCCCAAGTAAAAATCCTCAACCATGGCCAAAAGCGCCTAAACTCGACTCACAGGAACTGGCTAACTGGTTGACAAACATGTGAGCTGCCCTCCTGCAAAGGCCAACCAGAGAACAGGCAGGGAGCAACGAGACCCAGCTAGAGCAGAGCACTGCAGAGGACGGATAAATCCATCGCTGATGCTCAGGGGTCCTGACCAGTGTCCTGGGTGTGACCACTGCCACATTTTCTAACAAATCTGTTATGTCCCTGAATCCAATTATTTAGCCTAAGGAATGTCACCTCTGCTAAAGAGAAGCGTGTTTGTAAGGAGTCCAAAGTGATAAATGGTCTTGTTAGCATGATGCTCCACCCTCTGAGTTCACCAGCTCAGATTCTTGCTAGATTCTGGAATCCAGTCAATCTGTGTTGACCCAGAGGTGTTACTACTAATGCCTCCAGAGAACTCATGTCCAGATGAAGCGACTTACAGAGCGGCTTCTCTATCCTGCTCGAACTTCAACTGCTCTATCCTCTAGTAGCCCAAACTTTACCCTTTAAAAATACCCAACTTACTCCAAGAGCACATTGAACCCTTAAGAGACTAAATTGGAAAATGAATTTGCTTGCAAGCTTCAAGGCCAGCATTAGCCCTTAGCAATTCACTAATTCATCCCAAGAGAGGTTCAGAGAAAGAGAAACATTACATTGCATGGCCACCATTAAGTTACCTTGAGGAAGGTTTCAAGGCTTCATTCTACAATTTTAGTTTTCAGCTTACTGATAAGCAACTTCTGTCATTCTGACTGTAAGATAAACTCACATTTGATGTCAGAAACATCCTTTTCCTGTCTTTGTGGTCCCTATTCAAGTAAACAGAGAAGACATTGAGTTGCCCTAATGAAGAAGAAAAGGGATTTGATCCCCAAACTATAGACTTCTAGAACTACTAAAAACCTTAAAAGATCATCTGATCTAGTTTCTGCCTTTAGACAGACGAACGCCTAAGGCCACACGGGACAGATGGTTGTCTTACTCTCGAAACATCAAGGGACAAAGATAACACAGACTTTCTGAAGAGTCATCCCAGTGTTTTCAGAGCTCAGCCCACTCCTAATGATACAATTTTGACCAAACCCAAAGGACTAGCAGTTCTGGGATAAAGTAGCAGATTCCAACATCCTAGCACGGCAGGACACAAAACCAAGGCGATCTCACCTTACCTCTAGGGAAAAGGGCAGAAAGGAAATTGCAAAAATTACGTTTGTTGGAAAGTATAAACAATATTCCTTTGTGTCAACTTAATAAAAAAAATGAGGCCCTCTGGGGGCCTGGGGTGAACTCCAGGCTGCTCACATCCCACGTGAGGCGGCTCCCAGTCCCGTTGGCTCCTCCTATGGGCAACAGGGGTTGTCAATAACCAGCATGACGTCAATGCCATAGGCCTCTAGCAAGTCCAGGAGAAAGCTCCGGTCTCCTTGGGGGTCTAGACCCATGCCCCGGGCATGCTCTGCTGTCAGAGTTTTGTCTTGACTGGCAGACACCTCCAACAAAGTCTGAAATATCCGGTTGTTCTGTTCTAGGAAAAACCTGCATTTGGAAGACAAGACACAGGAAAGGAAGGGGGAAAAAAGCTCACCAGATAACCCACATATGAGGAACCAAAACTATACTGTTTTAATATACTTTTCAGTGGATTCGAAGGTATCTTCTAAAAGAAGAAAAGAGTAAAAGTTAAACAATTATTCAAGTGCTACTAACGTTTAGCAAAGAAACCATTTGTCATTAATTATGGTGTGATCAGGGAAATCTCTGAGCAAGACGGCCTGTCAAAAATCCATTTTCCTGTTAAGAGGGAAGTGACTGGGGTTTAAACACAGCCAGGGAAGAGGCCCCCACACTCTGCTTTTCTCTCTTTCTGCTTAGTCATAAGAGGAAGTGAAAATTCAACAATAACAACAACAAAATGAATCTGAGCCAACGTTATCCTTGGGTGTTTGCTCTCCCTTGATGACTCTTTGGGAGGAGTGAGGTTACGCACGGTTCAAGATTTAAAAGTCATGGCTGTAGAGTGCTCTATGAACAAACAAGGCCTGTTCAGGACAGCGTTCACTGTCTGGTTAGCCTAGACGGTCTAGCCCCCTACAGCTCTCAGGTTAGCAAAGGGCCCGGGGCCTGAAGCAGTCCTGGGTGCTCAGGAATTTCAGACACAATGGCACATGTCATGCCTGGATGAGACTGTGGCTGTGCTCAAGTCTCAGATACCTTCCACCTAAACAGGATGTAGGTTTTAGGAAGTCCTCTATTAGAATCAAGGTGCTGTACCTTTGTAGAAATGCCCACAGTTAAGTTTTCAACATCAAACCAGAAGTGTTACTCCCCAACCTCACCCCTGGAAGGCCAAATAGGAAGCTGGGAGAATTCAGTTCACGTCACAGAAGCTACTTCACCCAGCTCTCTAGGAATGAAGCCAGTGCTGTGAGGTGTAAAGGCCCTGGCTCCTGCACTTACGTGGCAAAGAGATTTCATTTGATTCAAGAATTAAAATGTCAGATTATCCCATAATACTCAGTGCAAGGACCTACTCTATTCAAAGGAGGCAATGGAAATGAGAAGTCCCCGAGTCCTGAGGGACAGACAGAGCTTCTATGGGGTGGACACCCTCGATGTAAAAGCCCAACAAGAAAAGAGACACTAAGACTCCTGTTTCTCTTCAGGGCCCTGCTTCTTTCCTAAGTCCCTGGATTCCCCCAATGGCATTTCAGGGCTCAGTTTACCTCTGTAAGGAGCCCAGCTCTAAGTGCCCTTGGCAGCAATAAAGGGCATCCCTGGCCCGCAGTGAGTGACAAGGGAGGGATGCAGGTCACTCAGTTAGTGCCAAAGGGATCCTCAGGGAGACCCCACGCCCACGGCCCCAGGACTCACAGCACAAAGAGGTCCTCTTCACAAGGGTTGTAGTCTTCTTCTACTTCCTGGGAGTACAACAGCATCTGCCTGTGGGGAAGGAGATCACTGTCAGACTCCAAACTTTACCCTTTAAAAATAGTGCAAGTGCCAGGACCCTGGTCACAGGTGAGGCCTCACCCAGGCATCTTCAGTGGGCCACCACCTCCCAGGAAGCAACATCAGCCAGGAAAGGGATCCACAGGGTTTGGACCCAAAATCCCTGGGGTCCAGGGCCAGTTCTGCCACTGGTGATCTTAGGCAAGTAACAATCTTTCCTAGTTATCTACTGGGGATGATGATGATAGCATTTATTTCATAGGATCACCAAATGATTGAAAATGGCATCAGATACACGTAAGCAAGCTTCTAACACAGCGATCGACACAATGAAGACGCTCAGTCAAGAAGGTTCTAAGCCGCATACACAGGTACATCTAAAGGTCACGCGGAGAGCGTCTGGCAGCGAAGGTAGTTTCCACAGATTCCAAAGTCCATGAGAAGAAGGAAAACAGCACCATGGACCTACTCCCCTCCTATCAGAGCAGCATACTGGTAGCCTGGCCTCTTCCACTGCCAAACCGCCCTTCATTTCCATCTCTATCCCAAGCAGCGTGGAGACTGGCAGAAATGCGTCAGGGAAGGGGCAGAAAACAGGCTTTGCAGAGACCCCCTCGCTGGAGCTGCCCCAAGGAGGGTGGAGCCCCTAGCGCTCCCCTTAGCTGCCGCTACCTCTGCTCGTTGAGCCGGCGGTATTTCTCCCTGTCGGCACTGTTGATCTTCAGCAGCGGCTGCAGGTGGTCGTGGTGTGTCTTCACATTCTGGTTATCCACGTAGACGTCGTACAGCTCCCGCTTCTGCTCGAATATCTTCTCTGTGGTGCCTGTGGAACCCAAGGTTAGAGAGGTGGGAACCCAACCAACCCCACCGGGAAGCAAGGCACCCAGGAGCCCCATGTCTGGGAGGAGGAGGTCTGGGACCTGAGGGCAAAATGAGGAGAGGGCCCCGTACTCACAGGCCACATAGGACACCTCTACCTCCAGGCTCTCGATGTCAGCCACGTTCACGTAGAAGAAAGGCTTGGACTCAGGAATGGTGCCCCCAATGCCAGGCAGTGAGACATTGGCCAGGCAGCAGCAGCAGTACACTGTGGGGACACAGGTGGTGAGCAGGGAGGGTCTGTGCCTCCACTGCCCTTCCCCCCCTCAGAGCCTGTGGCACAATACCCCTGCTCTAGGCCACCTTCCTCCTGCAACACCCCTGCTCTACGCCATTGTCCTCCCTCAACACCCCTGCTCTAGGCCATCTTCCTCCCTCAACACCCCTGCTCTAAACCATCTTCCTCCCTCAACACCCCTGCTCTAGACCATCTTCCTCCGTCAACACCCCTGCTCTAGGCCATCTTCCTCCCTCAACACCTGCTCTAGGCCATCTTCCTCCCTCAACACCTGCTCTAGGCCATCTTCCTCCCTCAACACCCCTGCTCTAGGCCATCTTCCTCCCTCAACACCCCTGCTCTAGGCCATCTTCCTCCCTCAACACCCCTGCTCTAGGCCGTCTTCCTCCCTCAATACCCCTTGCTCTAGGCCATCTTCCTCCCTCAACACCCCTGCTCTAGACCATCTTCCTCCCTCAACACCCCTTGCTCTAGGCCATCTTCCTCCCTCAACACCCCTGCTCTAGGCCATCTTCCTCCCTCAACACCCCTGCTCTAGGCTGTCTTCCTCGGTCAACACCCCTGCTCTAGGCCGTCCTCCTCCCTTAGCACCCCTGCTCTAGGCCATCTTCCTCCATCAACACCCCTGCTCTAGACCGTCTTCCTCCGTCAACACCCCTGCTCTCGGCCATCTTCCTCCCTCAACACCCCTGCTCTAGGCCGTCCTCCTCCCTTAGCACCCCTGCTCTAGGCCATCTTCCTCCATCAACACCCCTGCTCTAGACCGTCTTCCTCCGTCAACACCCCTGCTCTCGGCCATCTTCCTCCCTCAACACCCCTGCTCTAGGCCATCTTCCTCCGTCAACACCCCTGCTCTAGGCCATCTTCCTCCATCAACACCCCCTGCTCTAGGCCATCTTCCTCCATCAACACCCCTGCTCTAGGCCATCTTCTTCCGTCAACACCCCCTGCTCTAGGCCATCTTCCTCCCTCAACACTTGCTCTAGGCCATCTTCCTCCATCCGCATCCCTGCTCTAGGCCATCTTCCTCCGTCAACACCCCTGCTCTAGGCCATCTTCCTCCATCAACACCCCTGCTCTAGGCCATCTTCCTCCATCAACACCCCTGCTCTAGGCCATCTTCCTCCATCAACACTCCTGCTCTAGACCATCTTCCCCCATCAGCACCCCTGCTCTAAGCCATCTTCCCCTGTCAACACCCCTGCTCTAGACTATCTTCCCCCGTCAACACCCCTGCTCTAGGCCATCTTCCTCCCTCAACACCCCTGCTCTAGGCCATCTTCCTCCCACAACACCCCTGCTCTAGACCATCTTCCTCCCTCAACACCCCTGCTCTAGACCATCTTCCACCCTCAACACCCCTGCTCTAAGCCATCTTCCTCCCACAACACCCCTGCTCTAGGCCATCTTCCTCCATCAATACGCCTGCTCTAGGCCATCTTCCTCCATCAACACCCCTGCTCTAGACCATCTTCCTCCGTCAACACCCCTGCTCTAGACCATCTTCCTCCCTTAACATCCCTTCTCTAGACCGTCTTCCTCCCGCAACACCCCTGCTCTAGGCCATCTTCCTCCCTCAACACCCCTGCTCCAGGCCATCTTCCTCCCTCAACACCCCTGCTCTAGGCCATCTTCCTCTGTCAACACCCCCTGCCCTAGGCCATCTTCCTCCATCAACACCCCCTGCTCTAGACCATCTTCCACCCTCAACACCCCTGCTCTAGGCCATCTTCCTCCGTCAACACCCCTGTTCTAGGCCATCTTCCTCCGTCAACACCCCCTGCCCTTGGCCATCTTCCTCCGTCAACACCCCTGCTCTAGACCATCTTCCACCCTCAATATCCCTGCTCTAGGCCATCTTCCTTCCTCAACACCCTGCTCTAGACCATCTTCCTCCCTCAACACCCCTGCTCTAGGCTATCTGGTACCTCAGGAACCAGGTGGTCCTGGCATTCTGAGGACACTGGAGGTGGCAAGCCTTTTGTGGTCCCACAGCAGAAACTGACCCCTCAAGGTGATGTCAACAATGTGCTTACCAAACCAGATAAACATTTCTCAGTCTCTGTCTAGCTGGTCTTGCTTACAATTTGACCTTGTTAGAACTCCGGCCTCTGAAACCCTCATGTCTTCCAGTTCCTCCTTCTGCCTGTTCCTCCCAGTGCTTCCTGTCCTTCTACCTTTCTGGTCCACCTCCTGTGCCTGGCACACCCTCCTCACTTGTACTTTCCCCAGGTAATGCCCTCCATCTCAGATACCAGTGGAGAAATAACCTACCGCCCTCAAATCTTTATCTCCAGCCCAAATGCCCACAGTTCCCAACCCAGCTCTGTGGGGTGGACAGACACCCCTGCTGCGAAGGTCTCACGGCAGCACACCCTCGTCACATCCCACATTAACCTCATTAAGCCAGTCCCCCACTCCTCCTCAGTCCCCCATGTGGTGGCCCCACTACCCTTGCTATCCTAGACTCTTCTTCCATTGTAACCTCACATACGTCAGAACCTTTATAACCCAATGAGACATCAAGTTTAGTCCAGTTTCTCTTACCTACATCTAGAATGCATCTTCTCTGCTTTAATCCAGACCCTAATCTTTGACCAGACTACTGATGTGTCATCCAACCCATCTTCTACACTGTCACCACCGTTCACAGCCAATCAGGTCACTCCTGGGCTTAAAACCCCATCCTCTTGATGTGGCCCAAGCTCTTCCAAATTTGGTCAACGATACAAAGACTCAAGCAGTTTCTTTGCCTGTGATTTAAGCAGCACCCCTGTCTCTGGCTTCTGGTTACCTCTATAGCACACCACACCCACAGGTGGGGGAGAAAATATCAAAATGCGCTTTCGAAGTAAGGCAAATTTCCAGAGGATGAGGATCTGTTCTCCAAAGAACTTAATAAACTGAGACATACAGCCAGCTGGGTGTGTGATCTGAAAAAATTGAGGGGAATGGGGAGGAAGAAGAGTGGAGGAACAGCGTGTTAGAAACATAGCAAAAGATATCTAATCCCCCCCACTGGAACTCTAAAGTACAACCAAACAGATATATTAAAGGATGTTTCTTTTCACACAAAATGATGTTTTTCACTTTAGAAGTCTTACCTTTAAACTGGATTTCTATAATATAGTAGCTCTCTGATACACTGGTGTTTGAGTTTAGGGATCATTATTTTACTCAGAATGGTGAAAAGAAAACAAAGCTGAATTTAAATTTTAAAAAATCAGAATAAAAGTGTCTCTAAAGACACAGTCTGCTTCAATAAGAAAACTCAAATCGAAAACACTACTAAGCACTGTAAGTAATAACATGATGAACACACAGTCCCCAGTCAGATCCCAAATCTATGGGGACTGCTACTGTGCAGAGTGAGGTGTCTGCAGAAGTCACAGGTAGGCAGGAGCCCCTGGCATAATAATCCCTGCCGCACTTCACCTCTGACCACAAAGTCTCACTCACTCCGTCGCCCAGGCTGGAGTGCAGTAGTGGTGTGATCTTGGCTCACTGTAACCTCCACCTCCTGGGTTCAAGAGATTTTCCTGCCTCTGCCTCCCAAGTAGCTAAGATTACAGGCTTGCGCCACCATGCCCAGCTAATTTTTGTACTTTTAGTAGAGATGGGGTTTCACCATGTTGGCCAGGCTGGCTTTGAACTCCTGATCTCAAGTGATCCGCCCACTTCAGCCTCCCAAATTCTGGGATTACAGGTATGAGACACCACAGCTGGCCCCACTCTTCCTTCTGACACTGACTGCACAGGCATGGCAACCCCTGAATTGCCTTCTAGGAACCCTGAGCCAAGGAGTTTCAGAGGGGTTAAGAGCATAAGCTCTGATCCCAGGAAAAGCTGAATTCCAATCCTGGCACTGCCACTTACTAACAGGGAGATCTGGGGAAAGTTAGCTAATGTTACCAGTTCTCTACCCTTAACTGTGAAGTAAGGAATCATCACCTACCTCACAGGGTTTTAAGGACTGCCTGAGACAAAACATGAAATAGCACATAAAAATAGCCAATATGGGGCGACCACTGCTGTTACTGGCAAAACAGAAAGGCTTCAAACCCTGTGCCTTGTGAGCTTTGTGAAAGGTCACTTCCATGCTGACGTGCCAGATGTAAGGGAGACAGGCAAGACCACTTCTGAGAGAGGCACCGACTCTGGGCTGCATGCTAGGGTTTCACAACTACCAGCCTTTGGGGGCACCTACGCCCGAGCTTTGATGCAGCTTCTGCATTCTGCCTGTCCGGGCCAGGGCTGTCCTGGGCCTTCCAAAGCCGTGGCTGCACCACACAAAGATGACTTCCCTTTCCAAGGCGTCACTCCCACACTGATACCACTCCCCTACCACATGCCAGGATCAAGGTGACCCTGCGCTGAGCACGCCGTTTGCCACCCATGCCTACTGTTCTGCCACCACATCCCAAATTGTGAGGAGGAGAGGCATCAAGTGACCAAGGCTGGTCCCATCCCTCCAGTCACTGTCTCTCATCAAGTCTAACAGCAACCAGAAAGGAAAGGGCGCCAGAGCACGCCCGGTCCCTCCCAGCTTTTCCACTGGTTATCTTCAAGCACCCAACTTGTTCTTCCGCTACATGGAGGCCAGGTGGGGATCACTCAATGTTTATTTTATAGGCTAGTGGGAGAAACAGGTAAACAAGCTTTTAAAATATAGCCTGATGGGAGCCGTGATGCGAGAAGAATGGGGTTTGGGGGAGCAAACTGGATGGTGCCTGATCCCATTCTAGGAGAGACAAAGACTTCCCAGAGGAAGTGATGTTGAAGCTTTGACATAAAGATGAATCCGAGGGAAGGTGTTCAAACACAAAGGACTGCAGGTAAGAGGGAACGTGGCCCTTCTTGGGACCTGCAGGTAGTTCAGGTCCTGTGCCCAGGCCCATGCCAGGGAAGCACTGCAGGCAGCCACCACAGGGCTACCTCCTCTCTTCCAAGAGTCAGCTCAAGAGACTTCCTACCCCTCTTCACTCTACCAGGCTCACTGCACATGCAACAGAAATCTCTCCTGCTTTCATTTGAATCTCTTTCCCTTTTTTCAGCCTTGTTTCTCTGTGGCTTTACAGATAACTCTCTTTCCTTGATGTCTCCAGCACGGCCTTCATGTTTTCTCTCCAACCTTTCAAATCCACACTCTATCCTCTTTTCACTCGTTTCTTTTTACTCCCTAACCACTGTCAGCTCAGTCTCCATAGCAGGCTCTGATAAGCCTGCCACTGGGGAAGCCCTCCAGCCTGGGGCCCAATCCCCTCCCCTATAACCCTCTTCCACTCCCCCATTTTCCCAAGGGAAGCATTTAGCAGCCACATTTGGACCTCTCAGAGAGGTCGTCTTCTTCCCTCTGGTTCCTTTCCAGTTTATTTTTTTCCCTCGGAAACATTCCTATATCTGACTCCTACATTAAAAGCTTACTTCTTTAAAGTTATTTATTTTTCTTGAGACGGAGTTTTGCTCTGTCACCCAGGCTGGAGTGCAGTGGCACGATCTTGGCTCACTACAGCCTCCGCCTCCAGGGTTCAAGCAATTCTCCTGCCTCAGCCTCCTGAGTAGCTGGGATTACAGGCACGTGCCACCATGCCCAGCTCATTTTTGTACTTTTAGTAGACACAAGGTTTCACCATGTTGGCCAGGCTGATCTCAAACTCCTGATCTTGTGATCCACCTACCTCAGCCTAATCCCAAAGTGCCAGGATCACAGGTATGAGCCATGCCTGAAGTTTTTATTTATACATGTGTTGATTTTGTAAAAATTCATTGAATTATATACATGATTTTTAACTTACTTCTATAAAGTGTTATATTTCAATAAAAAGCTTAAAGATCTATATACACACACACATTATTTTCCATACATGACAAGTATTATTATATCATATGTGCTTTTTTTTTTGAGACGGAGTTTCGCTCTTGTTACCCAGGCTGGAGTGCAATGGCGTGATCTCGGCTCACCGCAACCTCCGCCTCCTGGGTTCAGGCAATTCTCCTGCCTCAGCCTCCTGAGTAGCTGGGATTACAGGCATGTGCCACCATGCCCAGTTAATTTTTTGTTATTTTTAGTAGAGACGGGGTTTCACCATGTTGACCAGGATGGTCTCGATCTCTTGACCTCGTGATCCACCCGCCTCGGCCTCCCAAAGTGCTGGGATTACAGGCTTGAGCCACCGCGCCCGGCCTATATGTGCTATTTTTAAGTGATGTCTTTTTTATACATATAAGCCTTACCCTACCCCATCTCATACTTTACCTCATCCCAGGGAATACATGTCTTAATAACCTCATATACACCCATCAACAGCTTCCATGTTTGTGTCTGGTTGTGTATGTGTCTCTATCTAAACAAAGACTGTGATTGTTTAACAACATGTAATCATATCACATATACAGTCACCTGGCCCTCTGGATCCCTGATACCACATCCTCAGATTCAGCCAACTGCATGCAGATCAAAAAAATTTGGAAAAATAAACAGTAAAATATAATACATGTAAAAAAGCAACACAGTATAACAACTATTTGCATAGCATGTACACTGTATGAGGTATTATAAGTAATCTAGAGATGATTTAAAGCACAGATGGTCCCTGATTTACCATGATTCAACTTACCAAGTTTTCAACTGTATGACGGGTTTATTAGGATGTAGCCCCATGGAAAGTCAAGAAGTTCCTGAAGACTTTGATGGGATTATGGTTTCTACTGAATGCACATTGCTTCTGCACCGTCATAAAGTCAAAAAATCATACATTAAGTGGAACCATCATAAGTCAGGGACTGTCTGCTGTGTGGCCAGCATTAAGTGTACTTTTGACTTACAATGTTTTCAACTTACAATGGGCTTATGGGGTGGAACCCCACGGTAAGTTGAGGAGCATCTGTATATGGGAGGAAGTACATAGGTTTCACGCACATACTACACCCTACTACATGGGGACTTCAGCATCTGCAGATTTGGGTATCTGAGGAAGGTCACCTAGAACCAATGCCCTGCAGATACCAAGGGATGGTGAGTTTTCTTGCCTTGCTATTCTCACACGAATTAGACCTTGTGGTCCTTCCATGTCACCTTCTTATGCTCTAATTCACTATTCACCATGGCTTTTAATACACAGCCTTTCTAGTTTTCTACCTCTGTGAACTATGTTAAATTAAATAATGTTTCACATATATCATTCTGGTGGATAGATCCTGTGGAATGAGGTTGCTAAAACGGAAGCCACATATGTTTGACTGATTGATTTACAAACAAAGTCTTGCTCTGTCACCCAGGCTGGAGTGCAGTGGTGTGACGTTGGCTCACTGCAACTTCTGCCTCCCAGGTTCAAGCAATTCTCCTGCCTCACCTCCTGAATAGCTGGGATTACAGATGCCTACCACCATGCCTGGCTAATTTTTATAGTTTTAGTAGGGACAGGATTTTACCATGTTGGCCAGGCTGGTCTTGAACTCTTGACCTCAAGTGATCTGCCCATCTTGGCCTCCCAAAATGATGGGATTACGGGCGTGAGCCACCACGCCCGGCCATGTCTTTTTATTTTGATGTGTTGACATACTGTTTTTTAGAAAGAAGACACTCCACATTTCTATCTGCAACCACGAAAGTACCTTTTCCCTGCATCTCCTGGGGTCTAACAGGTATGCTCATGAGCTATCCTCAAAAGCACAGACAATTTCTTTTTTTCCCTTAGTCCCTCATTCCTGGACTCTTACGGGGAGGAATACACGTACCTTTAGGTCAGATGCTGGTCACCTGTGTATTTGTTGATAATTCCAACAGAAATTAAACTCTGAAGGAAAAAATGGGCCCAAGTCATAAGCAGACAGAAAGAGAACAGGACTCAGGTCAGTGCAAGCCCGGAGTACCTCTAATGGCCCTCTGACCATTTCTTAATGATTGTCTCTCAGCCTATGCTATGGGCTTGGGGAAACCTCCAAATGACATTTCCTAAACTCACATGCCAATTGGCTTCCTGTTAGATTTCTTCAACGGAAAGCAAGGACTGCAGATTGAAAGGTAGAAGGAAATCTCTTCAGTTTCTTGCTCTGGCTAGTATTTCTCCAGCAGCAGAAGACACCAGCCTCCAGCTTTCTTTAGCACAGGTGGAGCCACACCTCCTGCGAGGTGCCAGCATAGATACATAGTGCCTCCCTCAGAGATCTGAGCACTGGCTGTACAGGGACCCATACTGCAGGCTCCCATGATTTTGATCATGAGGCTTCTGTTGCTTTGTTACCCCAACCCTAGGGGAGGGTGACAGACAGCCTCTAAGACAGTCCCCAGTGATCCCCGCCTCTTGGTATTTACAGCCTTATACAATCCTCTCTTCCTCTTGAGTAATTTGCTTCTAAGAAAATATGGTGACATTGCAGGGCTGTCACTTCCATGATTAGGTTACAAAGGCTTCTGACTTCCATCTTGCTAGTACACTCTCTTACTGGCTTAGATAAGGCAAGCCCGCATACTGGAGAGACCCATGTGGCTAAGAACTGAGGGAAGCCCCCAGTTAACAGCCAGCAAGGTACTGAAACCTTCAGTTCAAAAAAGCCCTCAAGAAATTTGATCTTGCCAACACCCACATGATCTTAGAGGTGGATACCTTCCCAGTCAAACCTTTAGATGAGCCCCCAACCCTGGCTGATACCATCTCATGAGAGATTATGACATAGAGAACTTGGTTAAGCCATGCTGGGATTCCTGACTTACAGAAGCTGTGAAATAATAAATATGTAATATTTTAAAACCATTAGTTGGGGGATAATTTGTTACACAGCAATAGAAGATTAATACAGGGCATTAGGCTATTAGCTATAATTACTAATATATTGGCTACCTACTCCTTTTTTACTCCTTCAGCCTTCCAACTCCTGTATTACTGATTTCCTATGTTAAATTAGTTTGAATTATCTAGCATGGTCTTTTTTCCACAGTAAGTCCCTAATTAGTATTTATTAGGATTCAAGTTCCAAGTCTACTATTAAAGGTTCTCTACAATCTAATTCCAGCCTATTTCTCCAATCACTTCTCTCATGGCCAGCTGACAAACATGTAATCCCAGCCAAACTTTGCTCATATCCCATGAACTTGTGTTTTTCCATGTCCATATCTCTGTAAAGACAGTGGAGTGGGGCGGGAAACATGCACTGGCAGTGACACCAGACCTCTGTTTAAATCTTGGCTCTATCTCCTATTAGCTACAAGACCTAAAGCGGACTAGGCACGGTGGCTCACACCTGTAATCCCAGCACTTTGGCAGGCCAATGCGGGCAGGTCACTTGAGTTCAAGACCAGCCTGGCTAAGATGATGAAATCCCTGTCTCTATTAAAAATAAAAAAATTAGTTGGGAATGGTGTAGGTGCCTGTAATCCAAGCTACTCAGGAGGCTGAGGCAGGAGAATTAGTTAAACCCAGGAGGCAAAAGTTGCAGTGAGCTGAGATTGCGCCACTGCACTCCCACCTGTGTGACAGAGCAAGACTCCGTCTCAAAAAAGGCCTAAAGCAAGTCACTAGCCCTTTATAAGCCTTGGTTGCTTTAGCTGGAAAACAAGGTTTAAGGCCGGGCATGGTGGCTCACACCTGTAATCCCAACACTTTGGGAGGCTGAGGCAGATGGATCATGAGGTCAAGAGATTGAGACCATCCTGGCCAACATGGTGAAACCCCGTCTCTACTAAAAATACAAAAATTAGCTGGGCATGGTGGCACGCACCTGTGGTCCTAGCTACTCGGGAGGCTGGGGCGAAGAATCGCTTGAACCCGGAAGGTGAGGTTGCAGTGAGCTGAGATTCGCCACTGCACTCCAGCCTGGTGACAAAGCAAGACTCCGTCTCCACCAAAAACAAAAAACAAAAAACAAGGATTAAAAAAAATTTACTTTAAAGAATGCTGCAACAAGTATAGAGAAATAGCTGGCACAATGCCTAACTCCCCAGAAGGTGCTGAGAAAGTGACAGACCATGGTTCTCACTGCTGTTCACACCTTTGCTGGTTCTGGAATCAGCATTTCTCACTTTCCACCTAGCCAAACACTCAGGGGCCGCGTCTTCTCCCAAGGCATCTCCCAGAGTTCTCCCCTGGACTCTTGGCATAATTTCTCTACCAGGGGAGCCCTAGGTTTCCATGGAAATATCTTGCGACCAACCACAGGGGAAGGAGAAGAAAGAGAAAGAGGAGATTCATGTTCTTAGTCATATTTGCACCCTTCCGACACCTAACGCTTCGCCGGGGGTTTTGCTAACTGTAGACAGGCATATTCTCGTGGCAAAGCCAAAGTACTTCAGAAACAAATACAAAATGAAGTAAAATTAAAAGTATCTTAACTAAGAAATGTCATATTTATCCATCAAGCACTTCACTTCATCTTTAGTTCAAATGTCTAGTGTTAAAATATCGGAAGAAATCAACAGAATTAAATCCATCTTTTCACAACTTGCCTATCACACTCACCTTAATACAATGATTACAGAAGTGTCTAGAAAGCATATTGTTTAAGATAACTTGCCTTATGTTTTAAACAAACTCAAATGCTTAAGTTGCAACTCTATCAAAAGCAGACATTTTGTATGATCCAAAGACATACTCTTTTTATTCATTAAAAATTAATCAACAGCTACTATTCCTAGATACAGATCCAGTATCATGTAAGAAGAGCAAGGCTAACCTCACCTTCATCTCGGGGTACATGTATCGGTGGATAGAAGGCAGCCAGTAGACAGGCGGCAGGCTGCTGCCTCTTCCAGGACCAGCATGGAGCACCCCCTTTTTGTCCTCATAGAAGGCAGCCAGATGAGAGTAATGTCCTGGCATCTCCAGCTGGTGCCTGCAGAAAAACACATACATGCATGCATGCATGCCACACATACACACGTGCACACAGACACACACACACACACACACACACACACACACACACACACACAGTGAGAACAGACCTGGTCACAGCTCTGCTCCCACTTCTACCCCTTCCCCTCGCAAAGGCTGTAACACTCATGGCAAAGACCCTGACATACTCCGAAGATCCCCATCTGGAGGTTGCTTAGGTCTCTTCCTTTGATGCTACAGAGGATCCTTATGAAAAGTTCAAACATGGGCCTGAAACTCCCTGACAGTACCATGGAACACATTCTTTTTCTCATGGGAAACAGACGGAATTAACAGACTATGTCTAATGTCTATTGTTCTTGAGCAAGGTACGCCGGAGACTGGGTGCCACTTCCCAGAGAATGGCTGCTTCCTGTGAGAAGGGCCAGCTTGGAAGCCTAAAATTCCCTGCTTAAAGCCGCTCTTTGTTTAGCAAACTCACGCTTGCCTGCTTGCTTTGTTGTTGTAGAAGAATACGGAGAAGCTTACTCCCAATGTCTCAAATAAGCGAAAACAATTATTACTGGATGTCACCAGGGCTCATAATTTGTGCATCAAGTATAACAATAAAGAAATAAAAAGCAACAGTCTCTTCTCTGCCAGCCCCACTGGCTTGAGTTGCAGAGCCTGGCTCTGGCTCACCTAGCTAGCTGATCCCAGACCCCCGAACCCAGAAGGCAGCACCATCCTGGGCCATTTGGACAACGAAAACTGCTGCCCAGGAGTGGAACGCAGGAGCATTGCAGGGACTGTTTGTCACTGTTTAATGGGGGTGTTATAGGTTAAATTTTGTCCCCACAAACAAGATGGGGCCCCAGTACCTCACTCAGAATGGGACCGTATTTGGATAGCATCTTTACATAGGTAATCAAGTTCAAATGAAGTTACTGGAGTGGTCCCTAGTCCAGTATGAACCCTATCCTTATAGAAAGGGGACATTTGGACACAGAGACACACACACAGAGCAAACAGCAGGTGAACATGAAGACAGAGACTGGGATGGTGCATCTCCAAGCCAAGGAACCCCAAAGATTGCCAGCATCCACCAGCAGCTAGGGGAGAGGCCTGGAACAGACTCTCCCTCACAGTTTCAGAGGGAACTCACACTGCTGAGACCTTGACTTTGGGCTTCCAGCCGCTAGAACTGTGAGGCAGTACGTTTCTGCTGTTTCAAGCCACCCAGTGTTTGGCACTTCGTTATGCAGCCCCGGAAAAGCCCTAATTGAGGGAGGAATAGAAGGCGCCAAAACCCTTTTAGCCCATCTTTATTTTCTCAGTGTTCTACAATTTCCATCAATCAATGAACAAAAAGCAAAATATAGCTTCACTGAGCAAGAGAAACATCCCTAATTATGGTTGGCCCTGGAACAGCAGTGATTAAAAATAGGCACTCCCCGCTGCCACGCTGCCTCTGCAAACTGCCACTGTGGCTTACTCCAAACTATGCCACAAACTGCTCAGAGTCAAGATTTTCATCGACCAACTATAGCATGCTATTCTCCACCCATCTCCACTCCAGAGTGATTCACAGCTCTTGTGACAAAGCGATGACAAGAGACCTTCAGACAAATTTATATTTTAAAAAGAAACAAAAATCATCACAATATTCATATAATGATTACTAATATAAGACGGATGATAGCTCCAATTTCAGGGATCCTATACATTTTAAGCTTTGACAAAGAGGTAGTGATGTCATAAAATAACAAATAACTAGTTGGGAGGAGGGTGCTCATAATCATTTAGCCCACTTTAACAAATGATCATGAGCTAGATAAGAACCCATGGTGGCTAAGCTGTGTCTGACTATTCTGAGAAGATGGCAGATTTCAGATACTTTTTAGGGATGTTTGTCAAACTGATGAAAGTTTGATCCACAGAAAATCACACAAAGGCAATTATGTTCAAAGGTGTTTTCAATAGGATGGAATTTCCCTAAAAAGAACATTGAGAATCTTTTTATTATATTTTTAATACTGTATCTTCTATGTTAAAGGGGACTCTGTCAAGGGTAACATTTTTTCATTTTCTAGTTTATTGTTTGCTGAGTTGCTATCTTTTGTGTTTGACTATATTAAACTGCATACTTGAACCAAGATTCTAAAAACAAGTTCAGTACTAAAGTTGGAGTCCTTCAGACAGAGCTAATAGGAGAATTCTGTCCTTTGATTGCCTCAGATAGTTGACTGATGGGACAGAACAAGGCAATAATATGGAATATGGAATCTGAACACAGACACAAATATAAGTTGGCAGTTCCTGGATGAATGTTAAGTGACTGTTGTATGAAAGCCTCAACATTTAAACACACTACAGATGTTGCAACAAACAAGATTGTCAAACCACAATATCAAGAAAAACAGAGAGTATTGAAGCAAGGCTCAGAGTGCTGGATGATAAGTTAGTCTTCAAAGATGATGTCAAAGGAGCCTTTCCTGGTGAACTTACCTGCAAGAATGCAGAGATCAAGAAACCAACACAGTGAAATGTATGCCAAACCACCTACGGAAACTGTCTGAGAGCCATGACGCTGTGAAAACTAGAGATTAATTGGCTCAATATCTCTTAGTAATCTGAAGCTCCCGGCTGCTGGGCCAGAGACACTGGGGTTCCCCTTATGCACACAGCTCCTTCACTGATAAAACACAGCCATATATGGCCATGCAGATTGCAACTGATCCTGCCTGTCCCTACCACACTAGTAATAATTAATCCATGGTCAGAATCAGAGATGCCTCTGTGCAACAATTACACTTCAACACTCTGGTAATTATTAGTCTGAACAGGCGGGCGTGGTGGCTCATGCCCGTAATCCCAACACTTTGGGAGGCTGAGGTGGGTGGATCACTTGGGGCCAGGAGTTCGAGACCAATTTGGCCAACATGGTGAAACCTTGTCTCTACTAAAAGTCCCAGCTACTGGGGAGGCTGAGGCACAAGAATCGCTTAAATCCGGGAGATGGAGGTTGCAGTAAACCAAGATCATGCCATTGCCCTCCAGCCTGGGTGAGAGAGCAAGACTCTGTCTCAAAAATATATATGTATGTGTGTGTGTGTGTGTGTGTGTGTGTATTTATACATGTGTATATATGTGTGTGTGTATATATATATACACAAATCAATATTTATATATTTCTCTCTGAACAAATCACCTTCGAGCTCCTAGCTTAGCAAACGCAGAAAAATAAGCACTCCCATTTACTGCTAGAGCAGGGATAAAATGGCATCACCTTCTGAAGGGTAACTTACAGTTTGTATTAAATTATATACTGTATATGCCCTCTGATCCAGTGATTCTACTTCTTGGACTGTGGCTTAAAGAACTATTTCTAGATGTGAACAGCATTTACTCACAAGGATGCTGATGTTCACAGTGGTGAAAAAAATAAGGAACAAACTGAAAGCCCAACAACAGTGAAACAGTTAAATACATTGTGATATATCTATATATTAAAATGCTGTGAAACCACAATAATGTTGAAAACTACAATTCATGATACACCAGAAAGAGTAACATACCAAGTTACAAAATTTACATACTAAATGACCTCAATAATCCTTTAAGAAAATAAAATGTGGGGCCAGGCGCGGTGGCTCACGCCTGTAATCCCAGCACTTTGGGAGGCCAAGGCGGGTGGATCACGAGGTCAAGAGATTGAGACCATCCTGATCAACATGGTGAAACCCCGTCTCTACTAAAAAAATACAAAAAATTAGCTAGGCATGGTGGCGCGTGCCTGTAATCCCAGCTACTCAGGAGGCTGAGGCAGGAGAATTGCCTGGACCCGGGAGGCGGAGGTTGCGGTGAGCCGAGATCGTGCCACTGCACTCCAGCCTGGGTAACAAGAGCAAAACTCCTTCTCAAAAAAAAAAAAAAAAAAAAAAAAAAAAAGAAAGAAAGAAAGAAAATAAAATGTGTATGTATAATATATATTTGCACCTGGGAAAATACTAGAAGGATATAAAAGAAAATGTTAACAGTAGATAGGTCTGGCTGGTGACATCATTTTTTTTTTTCTTTGAGCTTTTCTCTATTTTTAAAGTTTCCCATAATAACTAACTATATGTTAATTTTATATTTAGTCATTTTAAACTTTTCACTATGAACATTTTGAAACATATACACAAAATGTAGAAAGAATAGAATAATGAACCCCATGTATTTGTCATCTAGCTTCAACAATAATCAATATTTGATCAATATGGTTACGGCTACACCCTACCATCACTTTTTTCCTAGAATGTCTTAAAGAAAATCCTACATCATTACATTTACTGATAAATGCTTTGTAAGGCATCTCTAACTGATGAGGTCTGTTCAAATAATGAACACATAACCACCATGCCATGATCTCACTTAACAAGAATAATACCTTAATATAAACTAATATCCAGTCCACATTCAAAATATAGCCATTCTCCCCCAGATGCTACTTGAGAGTTGGTTTGTTTAAACTGAGATCTGAGCAAGGTAAAATGTGGTTACAAGTCACAGGTCCCATTATGCAATAACAGTCCCTCTTGCCTTTTCTAATTTAATTTCTCAATTATAAAATAGTTCTCCAATATCTTCTGATTAATAAGAAATAATCATTAAGAAGACTCTTTAGAGAGATATTGAGGGCAAAAGTTGTAGATTAAATACAAATAAATAGGTCTGGAACATCACAAGTCAGAAGAAATATAAAACACAGATTAAGCGTTGCAGAAATTAAGATTAGTGAATTTATGTAAAAGTTACTGCTGCAGTCAGGTATTATCCCAGCCTAGACCTGAGCTTATCTAACTGTGCTTTTCTTTTCCTCATACTCCGTCATACAAGTCTCTTCTCTTATGTTACCTACAACCTCTTTCATCACCAAGCTGCAAAACCTTTCTAGCTATGACTCAAAATCTAGAAGCCATAAAAAGATTAATGAATTCAAAGAAAAACACCTACCTGACAAGAAGGTTATGTTGAAAGACAAATGACAAAGTGGTAAAGTATTTTCAACTTATATCACAAAGAACAAATTTCCCTATCCTACAAACTCCCAGAAATAAGCAAAGGCAGACAACAAAATGTAGCAAAGGCTAGAAATGGTTCACAGAGTAAGACATACAAATGACTCAAACAAATATAAAGGTGCTCAACCTCACTTATAAGAAAAATACAAATTAAAACTATACTGAGGTACTGTTTTCTTATCCATCAGGTTAGAATGTCCAAACTCCCAAACTTTCATTTTTATGTTGGTAATGCTGTGATGAAACAGGCATTCTCTTGTATCACTGCTGGGCATGCGAATGGCACAACCTCTATGGGAAGCGATTTGATAGGATCTATTAAAGTTAAAATTACATATGCACATATCCTTTGAAGCATCAATTTCATTTCTGAAAATTTAATGTACAGATAAACGTCTCACGTGTGAAATGCATGATATCCAATGCAGCATCATTTGTAGCAGGAAATGGACAGGAAATAACCAAATGTCTATCAATAATGAGCTTGATAAATAAAGTGCCATTCTTCTATACAAGGCATATGATATGGCTGAAAACAAGGAAGAAATTCTCAAGGTAGTGATATGAGATCTGTCATACTATCAAATGAAAAAGGCTAGGTGATAGCTGGGCATGGTGGCGCATGCCTGTAATCCCAGCTACTCAGGAGGCTGAGGCAGCAGAATTGCCTGAACCCAGGAGGCGGAGGTTGCGGTGAGCTGAGATCGCGCCATTGCACTCCAGCCTGGGTAACAAGAGTGAAACTCCGTCTCAAAAAAAAAAAAAAAAAAAGAAAAGAAAAGAAAAGAAAAGAAAAAGGCTAGGTGCAAAATAACATGAATAACATGCTATCTTTTGCAAGAAAAAGGGAGACAATAAGAATATACATTTGTATTTGTGTATACACACACACACTTTGGGATGATACATGAGAAATGAATTGTGATTACTGGGATTATTTGAATGGATATGGGAACTGGGTGAAGATCTTTCACTTTATGTGAGTGGTAGTCTGCCACACTCCTCTTTAGTAATAAAACCTTCCAAATTTTAGATGGACACATGGACGCCCAGCTAAAGGCCACATTTCCCAGATTCCCTTGCTACCATGTGTGCCTAGTAACCAAGAACTGGTCACATTCCACTGAGCTCAGGTCTTTCCCTCTTTCTATAGGCTGGAAAATGACATTGTAATGGTGAGACAGCTTCCACCATGTGGATGAGGACAACACTACAGAAAATGACATAAGACTGAATGACTTGGGTCCAAGAATGACCAACGGAACAGAACCACCTACCCACAATGAACTACTACAACTGCCATGCCAGAAAAGCTGTAATTCTGTCTTACTGTGTCACTGTATTGGGCGTCTCTTTGTTACAGCAATTTATACTCTAGTTAAAGCCAAAAATGATACCTAGAAATGAGTCACTACAGTATCAAAAACCATATAGAGGTACTGGCTTTGTAGCTGGAAGAGGAGAGTGGTGAGAAAATAGATATTGCAGACTAGAAAGCTGGCAACTCACTGGGTGTGGTGGCTCAGGCCTGTAATCCCAGCATTTTGGGAGGTCAAGGCGGGCAGATCATCTGAGGTCAGGAGTTAGAGACCAGCCTGACCAACGTGGTGAAACCCCATCTCTATTAAAATAAAATAAATAAAAAATTTTTTAAAAAAATTAGCTAGGCATGGTGGCATGTGCCTGTAATCTCAGCTACATAGGAGGCTGAGGCAGGAGAATTGCTTGAACCCAGGAGGCGGAGGTTGCAGTGAGCCGAGATCATGCCACTGCACTCCGGCACTCCCGCCTGGGCAACAACAACAAGAAAAGCTGGAAACCTTTGTTACACTTGTAGCAAAACGTCTGCTAAAACTTCAATAACGGGAGACAGACCCTGTGTCACCTGAATTTGCAGCTTTAGGGAAGGCAGCTGGAAATAGAATGCTGGTGTGTGTTGACTGCCCCTTGTATGCTTTTAGTGAGCTACTACGAGAATAAGATAAAAACCATATTGTCATGTTTTTCATAATCTTTCTTCTTCATTTTGGAGGAATATTTCAAGTAATAGTATATCTTATTGTAAAAATATTTACTTGAAGTTATAAGTAAAATTATGTTTAACATATTTCATTAACACAGCCTATTTGAAAAAATTAAATCTATAAAATATTAATCCTACTTTTGTAAAGGTATTTGTACTCTAGAATGACATTCACGGAATACTGACAATGGATATCTGTGCTAATATTTGAGAGAATTTTCTAAAATCCTTTGTACTTTCATATAAATTTTAAATAATAAACACATAAATGTTTAAATAATAAACATGTTTTTTTCCACAAATAATAAAGTTCACACTTTCAAAGCTGAAGATCACAATTATGTTACATAAAAATGTTTGAATAGTGATAAATTTTAAAAGTATAGGCTATAAAAGAGTATATCTATTGTATGGTGCCAAATATATATTTTAAATGAACATGCATAAACAGAAAAGAAGTAGTAACATTTTATCAGTGCTTCAGGGATTAGGGATAAATTTTCCCCTCAAAATCTGAAATGTAATTAGGTTACTTGAACAATGAAAAAAAATGTAAAGTAACTAATCATTTTGCTGCTTCTGTTAAAAATTCTCTTTCTATGCCAGGTACCTTGGCTCACACCTATAATCCCAGCTCTTTGGCAGGCTAAGATGGGAGGATCATTTGACTCCAGGAGTTCAAGACCAGCCTGGGCAATATGTTAAGAGCCTGTCTCTACCAAAGGAAAAAAAAAAAAAAAAAAACAAGCACACACCTTTTTAAGTTCTCTTTTGATTATCTCAATCATAATTAGAATCCCAATAGGCTGGGCACAGTGGCTCAAGCCTGTAATCCCAGCACTTTGGGAGGCGGAGGTAGGTGGATCACCTGAGGTCAGGAGTTTAAGACCAACCTGGCCAACATGGTGAAACCCCATTTCTACTAAAAATACAAAATTTAGCTGGGCATGGTGTTGGGCACCTGTAATCCCAGCTACCTGGGAGACTGAGGCCATGAGAATCGCTTGAACTTGGGAGGTGGAGGTTACAGTGAGCCAGGATCATGCCACTGCACTCCAGCCTGGGAGACAAAGGGAGACTTTGTCTCAAAAAAAAAAAAAGAAAAGAAAAAAGGAAAAAAAAAAGAATCCAATATAGAAGTAGGCTTTAAAAAAGTTTAGGATTTCTTTGCCTACCTAGGGCAAGGAGAGAACTATTGTGGTTTTGCATAAACAAACATCATGTACCTGTCAACAAATGATTTAATTTTAAAAAGTGATGGCAGTATTAAATCCAAACTGAAGGTAGAATATAGCCCAGCTTTCATTATAGAGTGAAGAATCATCATGCAGCGTGCTGGCTGAAATGAAAGGATACCACCCGAGGCACAAAACCTCGCCACGGATGTTCTTGGAAAGACATCTGTTGCTCTGGCACACAAGTGCTGTTTCCAAGGGCTAGCGCTACATGCACCAGCTGGTGAATCCTGCTGCCTCCCTGCACATGTACGGAAGCCACGTACCGAACCTGGTTCTCCAAGAAGTGCATGTAGCGGTAAAGCAGCGTGTAGGAGGGAGAGAGGATGCCCACAGACTTCATCCGCGCGCCACGTTCCAGCTCGCTCTCCACGGGCATGTTGGCAAAGCAGGCCAGGCCGAAGAAGGGCCCCTTTCGGAAATAGCTAGAAGAGACCAAATGTGTAGTGTGGCTCAATATCAGAGAGAAATTCTGAGACACAATCCTAAACAAAACCAATGAACTCTGTCCGGGGCTGTAAATGACAAAGCTCAGCCTCAAGGAAACACATAGGCCAACTCACTTGACCTCACCAGTGAGATGATCAAGGCCTGAAGAGATTACAGGACTTGCCAAGGGTCACCTGGCTGGAGCTGGAACTTGATCCTGGCAAGATTGCTGCTTGGCCGCCCAGGATCATGGACACATGTCCTCTCTCCTGTGTCACAACTAATGACTTGGATGGGAGAAGCAGAACCAACATTCCTCTTCAGGCTCCTCTGGAACTAGGACTCTTTTTCATGGCATGAACCACAATGATTCTTCCCTTACTTCCTGAGGCTCTGATATTTTTAACTGAGCTGCCATTTTATTTCCTCCTCTTTCTCACACTTGTATCAGTCATGAATTCAGCCCCATGAGGAGATTAAAGCCACTTCATTACCCTTAAGTTCTTTCCATTGTTCCTTCTCACAAAATTCTCCAATACCTCACTGCACCGGACTAAAAAATGGCCTTACTTAAAGCTGGAATTTCAAGGTTGAGCACATAGATGTCCTTGGTTAACTCGCACAGGGCTGAGACTGCACACTTTCATTAAAACCAAACCTCAAGTGAGGTCCATGTAATTTCTGAGAAAGTGAGAGAACCTCTACGGGTAGGGATTCCTAAGATTTTTAGGTCATGAAGCCTGTTGAGAACATGATGAAAGCTAGACATCTCGCTAGAAAAATGATGTAAACACAAAACTATCCATGTATTTTCAAGGCATTTACACACAGCACATGAACACCTCCTAACAAGAGCCCTTCTGCTTCGGGGAAAGTGTGGAGGTGGGGGGAATGGCACGAAGACGACTCCAGTTTGGAAGTACTTACATGAAATCAGACTGGATTTTATGGGACCCACTAGCCATAGACTTGAACTCAACACCTTCAAGGTCAATATCTTGAGGTAAGCACCATTCTACCATGTTTCCTGCAGGAAAAGGAAGACACAAGTTAAAAGAAACAACATCGCCGGGCGCCGTGGCTCAAGCCTGTAATCCCAGCACTTTGGGAGGCTGAGGCGGGTGGATCACGAGGTCAAGAGATCGAGACCATCCTGGTCAACATGGTGAAACCCCGTCTCTACTAAAAATACAAAAAATTAGCTGGGCATGGTGGCATGTGCCTGTAATCCCAGCTACTCAGGAGGCTGAGGCAGGAGAATTGCCTGAACCCAGGAGGCGGAGGTTGCAGTGAGCCGAGATCGTGCCATTGCACTCCAGCCTGGGTAACAAGAGCGAAACTTCGTCTCAAAAAGAAAAAAAAAGAAACATCATTCAAAGAAAATGGCTTAGACGCCAGACACTGAAGGAATCTCCCATCTCTGCCCTCAAATGAACACTGTTCTCCCCTCTCATGAAGACGCTGCCTTTCTATCCTTCTGCTCAACCATTTCCAAATCTGCCTTTCATGGCCTCACTTCTCTGCATATTTTTTTTTTAAACTTCTGCCCTCATTTCCTTATCTTACGTTCTCTCCTTAATCCTTTGAGATCTTGATTCTATCTATAGCCATTAATGACTGGGAAAAATCCCAAAACATTTTTTAAATTCTCATTCTCATTTACCTCTGGGTAGCATTTGCTAATCCCTCAAACATTTCTCCTCTTTTTCCTAGATTTCTTGACAGAATACTATTTTGGTGCTTCTCCTACCTCTCTGATTAATGTCACTCTGTTTCCCTCCCTCTCTCTCTTCTCTAAGTAAAGTCCTTCTTCGAGGGCCAATGATATTTGCTTCCAGAATTTGGGGACTCATTCACTCATCATTAATTATTCCGTTTCTCCTGAGCTAGATGCTGGATATGCACAGCTCCTGACTGCAGTGAGATTAGAGTCCAGAGAGAGATGAGGAGAGCAGCAGTTACAGTTCAGGGGGATCAATGTCATGACAGAGGATAAGGTGAGGTGGTTTTTTGTTTTTTTTTTTTTGTTTTTTTTTTTTTTTTTTGAGATGGAGTCTCACTTTGTCACCCAGGCTGGAGTGCAGTGGCATGATTTTGGCATACTGGAACCTCCACCACCTGGGTTCAAGCGATCCTCCTGCCTCAGCCTCCCGAGCAGCTGGGACTATAGGCGCCCACCACCACATCCAGCTAAATTTGTATTTTTAGTAGAGATGGGGTTTCACCATGTTATCCAGGCTAGTCTCAAACTCCCGACCTCAGGTGATCCGCCTGCCTCAGCCTCCCAAAGTGCTGGGATTATAGGCGTGAGCCACAGGGCCTGGCCAAGGTGGGATTTTAAGGGCACTGACAAGCATGCCTCAGGCTGTGGGAATCAGGGAACTACAGAAAAGCAGTGTTATCCAGAGTCCTGAGAGAACACTATAGAATACTCCCTGTTGTTTTCATGCATATTCAAAAGGGTTTAAAGCAAAACACTAAACTACCTGTGAGATTTCATTTCAGAACAAACTTCTTAACACTCCAAATCCTAATTTGCTAGGCATTAGAAAAACCATCAATAATCCCAGCCAACAATGCTTTCAGATGATTGTTCAGAGCATCAGGGAATATACAATTTAGTCTCAGGACACGGTAGATATCATAGAGCATTGGCCAATCCCACATTCGATAGCCCAAGACACTTTCAAATAGTTTTTTTTTCAAAAGAGGAATCATGATTCCGATCATTTAGTCAATTCACTGAGGGAAAAGCATGAAAAAGGAATTAAGATGATCTCAACAGATGCAGAGAAGGCCTTCGACAAAATTCAACAGTGCTTTATGCTAATAACTCTCAGTAAACTCAATAAACTAGGTATCCATGGAAGATACCTCAAAATAATAAAAGCTATTTACAACAAACCAACAGTCAATATCATACTGAATGGGCAAAAACTGGAAGCATTCCCTTTGAAATCTGGCACTAGACTAGGATGCCCTCTCTCACCACTCCTATTCAACATAGCATTGGAAGTTCTATCCAGAGCAATCAGGCAAGAAAAAAAAAATAAAGCATATTCAATTAGGAAAGGAGGAAGTCAAATTGTCTCTCTTTGTAGATGACATAATTGCATATTTAGAAGACCCCATTGTCTCAGCCCAAAATCTCCTGAAACTGATAAGCAACTTCAGTAAAGTCTTAGGATACAAAAACGAATGTGCAGAAATCACAAGCATTCCTATACACCAATAACAGACTTAAAGAGAGCCAAACCAAGAACGAACTGCCATTCACAATTGCTGCAAAGAGAATAAAATACCTAGGAATACAACTAACAAAGGATGTAAAAGACCCCTTCAAGGAGAACTACAAACTGCTGCTCAAGGAAATAAGAGAGGACATAAACAGATGGAAAAACATTCCATGCTCATGGTTAGGAAGAATCAATATTGTGAAAATGGCCATACTGCCCAAAGTAATTTAAAGATTCAACACTATCCATCAAGCTACCTATGACCCTCTTCACAAAAGTGGGAAAAAACACCTTAAACTTCATATGGAACCAAAAGACAGCCCACATAGCCAAGTCAATTCTAAGCAAAAAGAACAAAGCTGAAGGCAACAGGCTACCTGACTTCAAACTATACTACAAGGCTACAGTAATCAAAACAGCATGATACTGGTACCAAAACAGAGATATAGACCAATGGAATAAAACAGAGGCCTTGGATACAATGCCACACATCTACAACCATCTGATCTTTGACAAACCTGACAAAAACAAGCAATGGGGAAAGGATTCCCTGTTTAATAAATGGTGTTGGAAAAACTGGTTAGCCATGTGCAGAAAGCAGAAACTGGACCCCTTCCTGACACGTTACACTAAAATTAACTCCAGATGGATTAAAGACTTAAATATAAGACCTAACACCACAAAAACCTTAGAAGAAAACCTAGACAAAACCATTTAGGGCATAGGCATAGGCAAGGACTTCATGACCAAAACACCAAAAGCATTGGCAACAAAAGCCAAAATAGACAAATGGGACCTAATCAAACTCCACAGCTTCTGCACAGCAAAAGAAACAATCATTAGAGTAAACCAGCAACCAATAGAATGGGAAAAAATTTTTGCAATCTACCTTTCTGACAAAGGGCTAATATCCAGAATCTAAAAAAAACTAAAACAGATTTACAAGAAAAAAAACAAACAAACCCATTCAAAAGGGGGTGAAGGACATCAACAGACACTTTGCAAAAGACGACATATATGAGGCCAACAAACATATGAAAAAATGCTCATCACCACTGGTCATTAGAGAAATGCAAATCAAACTATACTGAGATACCATCTCATGCCAGTTAGAATGGTGATCATTAAAAAAATCTGGAGACAACAGATGCTAGAGAGGATGTGGAGAAATAGGAACACTTTTACACTGTTGGTGAGACTGTAAATTAGTTCAACTATTCTGGCAATTCCTCAAGGACCTAGAAATAGAAATTCCATTTGATCCAGCAATCCCATTACTGAGTATATATCCAAAGGATTATCAATCATTCTATTATAAAGACACATGCATACGTATGGTCATTGCGGCACTGTTTACAATAGCAAAGAACTGGAACCAACCCAAAGGCCCATCGATGATAGACTGGACAAGGAAAATGTGGCACATATACACCATGGAATAACAGGCAGCCACAAAAAAACGATGAGTTCACGTCCTTTGTAGGGACATGGATGAATCTGGAAACGATCATTCTCAGCAAACTTAGACAAGAACAGAAAATCAAACACTGCATGTTCTCATTCATAGGTGGCTGTTGAACAATGAGAACACATGGACACATGGAGGGAAGCATCACACACCGGTGTCTGTTGCGGGGGGACTAGCAGCGGGACAGCGGAAGAGGGAGGGTAGGAAGTTGGGAAGGGATAACATGGGGAGAAATGCCAGATATATGTGATGGGGGGATGGAGGCAGCAAATCACATTGCCATGTAGGTACTATGCAACAATCCTGCATGTTCTACACATGTACCCCAGAACATAAAGTGCAATATAATATATACTGGGGAAAAAAAATTTTTTTTAAAGAGTTCATAAAACAGAAAGGGTAGAATAATGTTATGTTTGTCAGGGTCAACGATAAGAAAAAGCAATTAGAAACTAAGAGAGGTGACCTTGGGGAAAAGATGAGCTTTTTAAGCACCAGGTTCCCCCACACTTTCCTGTATTTCCCATCTGCTATCCATGTCTATTACCTCTACAGTCCAGTGGTTTTGTTTCCTATGGAATGCATCAGGACAATTACGGAGCTTTAAAAGGTGCCAGGGGCTACCCTAGGTCTACAGAATCACCATCTTCCCTGCCCTGCCAAAAGGTGATTATGCTGATGCATGCCAGAGATGAGAGCCCCTGCTTGGGCCTCTGTGTACAGGCTCCTAACCCTTTACAGTGGCAGTAGATGGGCAGCAGAAGAAAGGGACAGTCTGGGACAGAGTTACAAGGACCCTTGATAAGCTCTGTCCTCTTCATACTCAACTAACCTGCTTCTTCTAATACTCACTGCCTTGCTTACCCGCACGCCACATGTTACTTGGTTCAGCTAGCTCAAACTTAGCTCCTTTCCTCCAGCCCAGCCTGCCCGTGACTACTCAGTGTCTTAAAACTTTATTTACCTAAGTGTTGCATTGAAGTATAGCACAAGTATAGAAAAGTGCACAAAGATGTTTATTGCAGCACCATTCACAATAGCAAAGATATGGAATCATCCCAAATGCCTATCAATGGTAGACTGGATAAAAAAAAATGTGGTACACATACACCGTGGAAAACTATGCAGCCATTAAAAGGAACAAGATCATGTCCTTTGCAGGGACACAGATGGAGCTGGAAGCCATTATCCTCAGCAAACTAACATGGGAACAGAAAACCAAACACTGCACGTTCTCACTCATAAGTGGGAGCTGAACAATGAGGACACATGGACACAGGGAAGGGAAAAACACACACTATGGCCTTTTGGAAGATAAGGGGG